GGTTTTTGTCGGCTATACTGACAGTGGGTTTGAAATCACTCTCAAAGTCAATGTATGTCTCGTCAGCGATGGGTACGGCGTCACTGATATGTCTATTGTCATCACCGGCCTCAACATGAAACCACTTGATTATGGAGATATTTGCCTGAAAATAGTTATATTTTAATATAATTTTATGTATTTATGCTAATAAGGCATTTATACTGTTGTCAAAAATCCTGAGATATGTTTATATGTGGCGTTGAAGTCGATGGTAAATCCTGTGGCATATTGTTTGCCCAGGAAATTAGCTTCAAAACTGTTGGTTTGGATACGAAAATCATTACCATTACCATTATAAAATATATGCCAGTAGTCCTGTCCAATCACTAAAACTGTTTTATACTTGTTTGTCTTATGTTTGTCTACTAATATTAATTGAAAACTATAGTCAATTCTATCGGAATTCTGGGCATATTCTGTGCAAAATTCTTTAACCGATTCGTAACCATTGAGTTGTGATAAACTGATTACTACTGTAATTAGTTTTGAAATGATATGATATTTTAAGATTATAAAAAACAAAATAACTTTTATAAAAATAATTACTCGTTAGAATGTATACAAAATGAGACATTTTTCTGGTTATAAGTGTTTTATAAAACTCTATGCGAAAAATCTAACGTCTATTTTGATATTTATAATGTAATGTTTTTTGTAATGTAAACGTATTTTATAATTAAAACTAGTAATTATAACAATATATTGCAAGTGCCGTATAAGTGACTTCACTAATTGTTAGGAATTTGTATAATGCAAATATTTTTATGATTTATATTTTACTCAATACTCAAGATATAAAAACTATAAAAAGAGCTATTTTTAGATCATTAACAATACAAATAAATGCCATTGGCCTGTGCTAGACATACCTGGTTAATTGACTTTATAGTTCAATTATATATGCAAATCACTTAAGAGTTAATGACATCAATATAGCTGATAATAGCTTCATATAGTTTGATTACCATTAAAGTCAATGACTAGTAATTTAAATATAGTATCAATTGTTTATTTTTGATATTTGTTTAGCAAGCAGATGTTGTGATGGGAAAACTTTGTGTTTAAAATTTTATATAAATATAAGAACAATAATAAAGATTTATGTAAAAATTGTAGTAAGTTTACTTTGAGTTTAGTTTATTTAAAAAAATAATTACCCAGAATGGATATCCGTCATACGGCAAGTTTTAAATGTAAAAAGTGGACAATGTTTGTGCTGAGTGCGTTTTCGGTTATCGGTACCTTGCTTATTACCATCAACATTATCATCACATTAATTACAGTAGAAAATGATAGTGAACAAATTACAGTAAGTAACGTATAGTTATATTATTTTACTTTATATAATTATAAACATAATTAAATTTATTATAAATAAATCATGTAAATTAAGCTAATAATAATTTATTATAATTATAACTCGCACCTTAAAATGAAAATTATTTTTAACTAACTTGTAAGTTTAATCATTTATTTATTCATTTATTTAGCCTGGTATAATAGTGAGCATAGTATCCATAGGAATGGTAGTTTGTTGCTTATATTCAATTGGGATGTTTGGCGCGCTCAAGGAACATTACGGCCTGTCATTGTACTTTGCCATACTGGCCCTATTGGGATCGTTAGCTGTACTGGGCTCAGCCATTCACAACTCCAACTATTATCCATCATTTTTTCTAAACCTGGCTATAAGTAGCCTGGCCTTTTCATTTGCATACGATTGCTACAGGATCACATTACAACAAACACCTATAATGACTGTACAGTACCCTGCTGTGGTCAATATTGTGGGCACTGGTAGTGAATGTGATCCACCACCAGTGTATACGGAGTTTTAAACTAAAATTTAAAAATGTTTATCTCGTTTCAATACTAATTAAAAATGTTTTATTGTATGATTCATTGCTATATTTAATCCTGATTAAATTAAATACATTTAAAAAATAGAAATGTTTATTTTAATGTAATTATACCAAAATTAAACTTATACAGATAACCATGGAGGGTATGTAGTTAATAAAAATTAATTTTTACATTCAAAACAACTCATAAAATTTAGTAAATTGACAAAAATTATTATTTTATATTTAATTAGTTGTCGTTTGCTTTGAAATCACAGACTTTGAGCTCGACTTATGTGTCCGTTTGGATGAGAGAAGCGTATTATTAGTTGTCATAGTTGTGATGGATTTGGATGACATGTGTTTTGACTCATCCGAGTCTTTGGACAGTTCGCTCGACTGGATGGTGGACCTATAGGTCAGGTATTTCTTTTGGTGATACCTATCGCACAGCACATACACCAAAATAATGACGAATATCAGCACAACCGCCACCAACATGGTCACCAGTAGTATTAATAGTAAATCAGTATTATCTTTCGGGCCGGTAGGTTGGGTAGGTGTGGCTGGATCGCAATTTATCAATGAATAAGTAGCACCATTTCGACACTACATATAACATAGAAATGTATATTAAATCATTGCTAATAAACAAGTACATAATTCTTACATTTTTAAATGGACTATTAGATTCTGTATAACAGAATCGGATCTCCTGGTTGTCGTAATACAGTAATACATATCCCGAGCCAGTCGTGGATCTCACTATACCCACCGCTTTCTGATGGCCGACCACTTCAATCACATTAATATCTTCATTATATCCGGATTTCATTTCACCATTAAGTGCCGCGTCTCTAGTTTTATCCGTGATATTAGCAATGAATTGGTAGCACTTGAAGGTCCTGTTGAAGGATACTCCGGCACCTTTTTGGTTCATAAAACATATGTATCCTGCCCTAGTTTGAAAAAATACTGTCGGTTTCAGATCCTTGGCCTCCATGTCATTGTATTGGGATTTCAAGGTGTGATTACTGTTAAGGATTTGACCGCTTTCTAGACTCTGTGTATTGAATGTAACGGTCGTCTCCTTAATCTCGTAACTCCAGGTGTCGTTTCCTATTTCTAATGATTTATTATTAGACCCAAAGTCTATCCCATTATCCGTTGAAATGCGATCAAAACTAATGTCGATTTTATAGGAATTGTTTTCAAACGCACGGCAAAAGTCTTTAGACATATGAGTCTGAATGCAACCGATTTGTGATATAAAGGCAATCACTTACAAAATGATAGAAAATTAGTTTATTTTACATAGTTTTATATAAACTAATCATTAAATACCTATGAAAATATAAATTAATGATTGCATTTTATACACTAATTAATACTTATTTTGTTAATTTATAATTTATATTAGCTTTGAAAACACTTTGAAAGCTTTTTATTACTGACCAGTGAACTCAATTCAGAAATCTGAATTATAAAATGTTTTTAAAATTATTATCTCGTTATAACACAATAATAAATCATTCAATCGTTAAATAATTCAATAACTTATAATGTAATCATTACATTGTAATGTCAAAAAAGTATTATTATATTTAATTATAGCAAATATTATTTATTACATAATAAAAGTAATGAAATTTACACTGGTCCTAAGTCTGGTTCACCAGGGAACTCAACAGTATCGGTGGCTGAATGCAATTCAAACAGTAATATATCGTTTTTCCCAGTTTTTAGTAGAGGTGAAGGGATGTACAGATTTTTTTGAGGTCCGATGTGGTAATACCGGCCGATATTGAAACCATTGATGAATGCATTTCCTTTCACCCAACCGTCCAGTCGTATAAATGTATCCCTCGGACTGTCCTTAATATCCAATTCTAACCGATAAACGGCTGGACTTTTGAGGCCCTCAATGAACGGCTTTCCCTTTAATTTAGTTAACTGTTCAACAAATGGTTCTTTGAATTCAAGGGGAAATGTCTCGAAATTTGTGGCAACTTTTGCATCGATAGCGACGTCACCGTTAAGACCTCTTCGGGCGGTATTCATAACATCCCCGCCATTGGGTCGACCGGTATTTTCAACAATAATATCCAACGTATGAGTCGTTGTGTTTGCAAATTGTGTGTCATTTAAGTCCTGATTATAGTCTTTCGCCGCACTTTCAACTAAACCGACCTCATTATGGTCTACGAGTATGACTCCCCGATCAGAGACACCACCTGTTTATAAGTTTATATAAAATTAAAATTAAATATAAAATCATATAAGAATTTTTCATTGAATTACCCGTGAGTTTCAAATGTTTAAATTTATTCAGATTTTTAAGTCTATAGAGAATAAAACCATAACTTTGTCCGGAATTCTGTGTTATGTTTAATAACTCCATGTGTTGTGGCTTTTCGGTGACCATTGGCTTCATTTGTGTCAACACGTCCTCTAAACTCAAGTAATCTTTTACTTTGAGTTTGCCGTAAGAAACTGGAGGTACATATGCCGGGGGTTTAGGTATATATATATCCGGTTGAGATCTCTCTTTATTAAACTTATCGATCAATTCCTTAGTTTTCCAGTACTTTGCCGAATAATTGCCTTAAAGTAATTAATAAAAATTATAATTAATTCTAATAACACATCAAAATTAATAATACCTGTCTCAGATAAGGGTGCATCATAATCATAACTTGTGGCCACTTTTTCCCCGTTCATAAACCCAAAGTTAGTGCCACCGAAAAACATGTAGAAATTGACTGAAGAGTTGGCTTTGAATATAATGTCCGAAATCTCTTTCTCGAAATACTTGACATCCATGGTATGGTGAGCCGTATCGCCCCAGTAGTCAAACCTACCTGGCCAGAATTCAGTGACGTGTAGGGGTTTATTAGGCTGAACCTGGCGTAAGGCAGTCAAGTATTTCAATGAATCCGAGTTAAAGTTATCGGTCTCTAAGACACCTGTAAATACATGATATTTATTATAATAAGTGTTTTTATTACAAATACTTTCAAACATTTATTTACCTGGCGTAAGGCAGTCAAGTATTTCAATGAATCCGAGTTAAAGTTATCGGTCTCTAAGACACCTGTAAATACATGATATTTATTATAATAAGTGTTTTTATTACAAATACTTTCAAGCATTTATTGAATAATACTAAACTATAAGTATAATAAAATTATGAATATATAAATGAGTACCGTAATAAGTTTTTCAAAAATATAAACTTTACCTGGTTGGATATGTTTCATAGCCTCCACTGCATTGGATCCGGGATCACAATTAATAAGCAATTCTTTGAATCCGTGGGAATCGATGACATTCTTCATGAACTCGAAGTACTCCTTATCATCATTACTATGAATGCCTCCGAACTCGTTCTCAAACTGAAAGGCTATAACAGGCCCTCCTTTCTGAAACTGGTAGTCATCGATAAGGGATAACACTTTTGAATAGTATTTGCCCACAGCATCCAGATATGGTTTATAGTTAGACCTAAACCTCATGTTAGGGTCCCTTAGAAACCAAGCCGGGTATCCACCCAATTCCCATTCAGCGCATATGTAAGGGCCCGGACGGTACACCACAAACATATCCGCCTCTTTGCAGGCTTTTAAAAAGTCAACCAAATTTAAGAAACCGGTTTCGAAGTCAAACTGACCCGGGATTGGCTCGTGAAGGTTCCAGGGTGAGTAGGTTTGGATCTATGTATTGATAAATAATTTATAATCTTGTTAAAACTTTAACATAAATTTATAAGGTTTTACATACGGTGTTGAGTCCGGCGGCCCTATACTTCAAGAGCCTGTCCTTCCAGTAGTCTTTGGGTAATCGGAAGTAATGCAAAGAACCGCTAAATAAAGTGATTTTCTTTCCGTTGAGAGTGAAGTCTACGGAGTCG